CTGCCAGCAAAGCCTGTGCGGAGAAGGAGGTGGGAAGGGAAAGGGGCATCATCACCTCCTCCTGGCCTAGCCTGAATCATTAATCTCCACCTCAGGGGTAAAAACAAGTAAAAACAACCCTCTGGATTTCACAACTGGGTTTGGTTGTGTTTTTTTTTTAAAAGTAAAACCCAAGAGCACGTGAGAACTACAGCGAACTGTGATTCTTCTTCATCCCACCAGACTCTTCCCGGGGGTTAGTAAAGATGCTGATGACTCAGTGAAGAGAGGTACATTCATTAGTTTTCCGTGCCAGAAAGTTGGAAAATTTGTGTATGTATTTTAGTCCAGAAAAAGGGCAGAGGGTAGAACAAAAAATGAAAATATAATTGAAGAGAACCAAACCAGGGTATTTCCAGAGGGACTGATCCTCCGAGGACAGAGACGAGCGGTCACTGAACCTGCGCCCGAAAAGCCAGGCTGCGTCTGGGATGGGCCAACCGGGTGTGCGCGGGAGAGAGAAAAATGTGATTTACCGGGAGAATCATCATGGGCAGTCAGCAACATCCCCAGCACGTCTGGGGAGGAAAAACTCTGCACTTCTCTCCTGAAGCAGTTTTTGTACACAGAGAAAGAAAAACCCTCTAGGGAAAGGCAAAGGCTCCTTGCTTTGGGAACCTGGGTGCCCAGCGCTTGCTACACGGAGTTACCGCCTGCAGGGCTGCCATCAGGGCTGTGGCACGGAGGCAGGCGGGTTCGCCACCGATCACGGGACTGACGGGGACTGCAAGTGCAAAAAGTGGCACTCGAGGTGAGGCACTGAGCCTTAAAATGTTGGCTGAAGGCTCATGCCTCGTACAGCTCACGTTCTCCGGAGAGCATGCTTCAGGTGTGACCCAGGCACTTCAGACATCCCTCTCTCGTTAATACCTAGCTCACATCTTTGCTCAGTGTTTTATCAGCGCTGCCTAGCTTGGTTTCTAATGGTAACTGATAATCACAGAGAGCAGTAAGAAGGACACCATTATCTGTTGGATGCTTTAAATGCACACCCAACCCCACAAACCACCAGCACCAGCCCTGTTTGCTGAGCCCTGGAAACATGCAAATGCTCTGCTCCTCCTGCCTTACGTCCTGCAGGCTGCCCAAATCCTCGGTGCTCTGCCTTCGTCCCCTGACGCCCCGAGCCCGACCTCAGCACTCACCTCCAGACTTCACAGCATCTAACCAGAGCCCGAAACCACAAGGGAGGGATGGCGACGGCACCTACAGGCATCTCCTGCAGCGTGCGCTGCCAACCCCAAGGCTCTCCTGTTCCTCCCCCCACCTTCTACTCAGCTCAACAGACCTGGGTTTGGTGAAGTCCTCCAGAAAGGGTCCTGGATCAGACATAACTAAACCGAGTGCCCCAGCTAACGCTATCAGCACGGGCTGCCCTCTCCCCTCTGCTCTAGCCACGCGCTGCTCCCTGCGCCACCAGACCGCGGCCACAGTGTCTGGAACTGCTTTTTGGTCCTCCTGTTCTCTTGTGCAATAGCTAGAGATAGGAAACTGCGCTTGGAAAAATGCATTTTTGAGAGAAGCAAGGCCGAATCTGGGTCGACTGACCATGGGAACAGTAGTCAGGACTGATTCACAATCCTTCTGCAGAGGAGGAGAGCCCTCACTCAGTCCAAGAGCTCAGCAACTGAGAGTAACTGGCACGGGGTGACCCAAGTTCAGTCCCACCGAGAGACGGGGGCTCAGGAGAGCAGGATCACCCCCCCAGCAGCCCCGTTCCTCCCTACAGGGGTTGATGCATTTTTTTATGCGAGCAGTCACCGGTAAAGAGAGGGAGAGTGCCCACCACAGCATGTGCACAGGAGACGGGGCACTGGGGGTCCGTCCTTGCTCCGGGCAATGTTCAATAGGTCCTTACAGGCAGGGTCACCAGAGCAGACTGCTTCTCCCCATACGAATGGCAAGAGGAGCACGTCCAAAGCTGTGCTGGAGGAGGGGGTGTCTTCAGGTCCTTTTATATCCTGAGCCAGTGCTCTGGCCATGGGGGCATCAGGACAAGGCTCTTTGCTTTCCTCTCTCACTTCTGTGGGTCTAGCCCATGCCTTTGGGGGTTTTTTGTAAATGCTTAAATTCAGTGAGTTGAACAGAACGGCATACATACAATTAAATGAGTAATAACATCTATGGATTACTAGTTCTGCTGGAAGGAGCAGGCTCCAAGCAACCCCAGCAGCGGTGGTCTGGCACTTCTGGACATTCCTGACCCTCAATGACTAACAATTTGTCTTTGGGCATTTAAAAACCAACTTAGATCCTTAATTAAGGTATTAAATATCCTAAGACACTTGAACGTCTGCCCTATCCATGTTGCAGCACCCAGCTGACGCCGACTCACCACGCACAGCTAGCATGGACTACGTACATTGTATGGACATGGGAGAGACAATCTCTTCGTCCAAATCGTCCACATCATCGGTCATGATGAAGTGCGAGGGGTTAGGCCGTGGGGTGCCCATCCAGCTGGGGTCAATGTTAAGGGCTGAGGCCAGGGTGTGGATGCCCGGGTTGTTGACGATCTGGAAGCCGCAGAGCAGCTCTATCTGCTGCCAGCGATGCAGGCGCTCCCGCAGCGCAGCCGTCACTTCGCTCAGCGCTTGCCTGGAAGCAAGGTACAAACAAGGAAAAAATGTAGGGAATGAAGGAAAAAAACACCATAAATTGTCTGAAACAGGGAGTCTAGTGGCTCAGCTCTGTATCCTAATACTTGAGACATCTTTCAATCCGCTTTCAGGGATACAGGAATTTAAAAAACCCACAGCAACGACTGAAGTATCCAGGGATAATCACTTAAAACTGCAGCCTCCTGAATCCTCATTTTGACAGGACCTTTATTTGCTCTGCATAACTGCCATTTCTTGCTTCACGCAGCTAAAATTAAAAGGTTATTGATTAAAAGGAGCAAGTCCAATCCCAGCTAACTAAAGTCAACAGAACAAAAGTTCAGCAAAACAAGACCAAGAGCACCTGTACGGGCTGCAGTACGCCTGTGTCTGAAATACCAGAGGGGTGAAAGAGGCAGGCAGAAATAAGGGAAGGTATTAAGTAGATACTCACTTTGCAGTTAAGATTTTATGATCAACATCATCTAGAGATGAGCTGTGAGCAACATGAAATGTTCCAAACAGGGTGTTTCGCTTCTTTTTAATTTTTTCAGCCTGGAACATCAACAGAAAAAGGTCACAGGAGAAAGACGACCTTGTGTTTCCTCCAGGACAAGAACATCCTGGATGGGCTGAGACAGAAATAGTCCCTGCAGCTGTTTGCACCCATATAAATCGTGTGAATCGGGTTTTTACTGAAGGATGTTGTTCTTCCCAACACGGCGGGTGAGGAATTCGCCAGCAGTGAGTAAACAGGTTGGGGGTTTCATGCTCCTCCTCAGCCCTTCTCCTGATTTCCTGAGAGTCAGAGGGAACCGAACCAGCTACTTCACACAGCAAGTGGCTCTCATGTGGCCTTATTTTGTCCTCCCCATGAGTAAACTATGGGGGAAACACTGGCAGTGCCCAAGGTTGTTGGTTTGGGGAGGTTTTTTGTTTTGGGGTTGGGTTTTTTGCCTTCCCTTTGTGGCACAGTGTGTATTCAAAATTAGTCTCCGCACACAGCTCCGGGGTTCACAGAGTTGTGGCGCTGAATGAGACTTACAAAAGATAAACCAAGGATGTAGACATGAGAACTGACATGGCAAAAGGAAAACCACTGAAACAGTAAAGTGTCCGTAATACAAACACATTAAGGCAGACAATTTTTTAGATGCTGCCAGCTCTGGCTGCTGTTTATCTCCGCAGAGACAAACACATGTTACAACAGCTTCCCTGCAGCTCATCGCTTTTTGGTTGGCACAGAAAATTTTAAACAACTGGGAACACAGAAGTGATTCATCACTTCAGATCACGTGCACACATTCGAAATTTTGTTGCCCGTGCACGAAAATCACCTCAAGCAGGGATTATGCTGAATCCAGGTTGGATGAGGCTTTGGGCAACGTGGTCTAGCAGAGGGTGTCCCTGCCCGCAGCAAGGGGGTTGGAACTAGATGATCTTTGAGGTCCCTTCCAACCCAAACCATTCTATGATTCTATGAAGAGGTGCAAACCCTCCTGCCGACTCCCTGCAGCGCTGTCGCACAGGCAGCGCTCCATGCCCTGCACCTTCCCAAGGCTCAGCTGACGGGCACGCCCCGGTCAGAGCCTGCACTGCCCCGAGAGGCGGCTGCGCTTTAAAAAATTGCAAATTTAAGGCATTGAAAGGGGAACAAAGAAGGTGCAGAGAAAGAAACTCTGCAGGTTTCATTCCCCAAAGCTTTTCCCGCGGCCGCGAGGGGAAGACCCGGCACGTGGACGCTGAAATTCTTACCCCTTCCTTGGCCACCAGCAGCTGCTTCTCCGCGTTCTGTTTCTTGATGTTGTAGTACTGGACCTCCACCTCGTGGGTCAGCTGGAGCCATTTCTGCAGGGCCTCGGGCGCAGCCCAGCTGCAGTGCGACTCCAGCTCCTTCTCGGCGTTCTTGAGCGCCATCCGCACCTGGGAGAGAACCGGCCAGCGCAGCGTTGCAGCAGTGACGGGGACGGCCTGCCCTCCTGTGAGGTCGTCCCAACCGCTGGCTGCCAACCCGGCGCTTTTCAGGCACCAGAAAATAGAGGGGGGGCAGGGGGGAAGACTCCACGCAACTTAATCTTAGTCGTGAGAGAAGCAGAGGTCGTTAGGAGAGGTGACACCCTGGTACTGCGGGTGAGTGGGGGAGAGGAGCGTGGCAGGGCAGCCATCTGACAGACATGGCTGCTGCTCGGATGACCGGAACAACCTGCAGCGCTTTCCGCTCACCTGAAAGGCCAGCTCCTTCCTCAGAAGTTTCCAGCCATGGCGACGCTGTCCTGCCTCAGCACCTCAGCTCTCGGGGAGGGTAAGCAGAGCTGAGCCGGTCTACCTCAGCCCTCTGCCTCGCAACGGTGCAAACCGCACGTGAACCCTCCAGGGCTGACAGCACAATGCACAAGTTGAAGAGAATGAGACTGTAGGTCTCAGGTCTTCCAGTCCCTGCAGGGGCTCCAGGAAAGCTGGAGAGGGGCTGGTGCCAAGGGCAGGGAGTGACAGGCCAAGGGGAATGGCCTGAAGCTGCAGGAGGGGAGATGGAGATGGGATGGGAGGCAGAAATCCTTCCCTGTGAGGGTGCTGAGGCCCTGGCACAGGGTGCCCAGAGAAGCTGTGGCTGCCCCTGGCTCCCTGGCAGTGTTGAAGGCCAGGTTGGATGGGGCTTTGGGCAAGCTGGGCTAGTGGAGGGTGTCCCTGCCCGTGGCAGGGGTGGCACTGGGTGGGCTGGGAGGTCCCTTCCAACCCAAACCAGTCCATGATGATTCTATGACTCTACAAGGATATGCAGGGTGCTTATCGTCGCCTCTAGAACTCTCTGCAAAGCTTGCTGCCTGCCTGCAGGTCTGCAAACCCACAGCCTCTCCTCCTGAGGCAGGATCCCTGACAACGCTGTGCAGGCAATCGCCTTGTTTCTCAGCAGCTCCCGAGCCAAACAGAGGGAGCTTGTCAAGAGACAACTTTCACACTGGAGCAAGATGATAAAAATATTTAGACACAAAACATGTGCTGCTTGGTCAGGAAAAGAAATAACACGCCTGGAATCAGCAGTTTCTGTAGGTTTCTGGGGACTCTCCTTCCATCCCAGCTCAGTCTCCTCCACACACTTACTTATCTTGCTGGAGATGGGAGCAATTACAAAATTAGAAGAAAGTGGGTGACAATCAAGTTGACGATACCACAACCTTACATAATAGCATTTAGTCCTAGAGACCATCAAGAATTAACACTTCTCTTCCATTACTCAGGACGTGGAGGGACTTTAACAACCATGACACAAGCCCTGCAAGAAGCTAACGTGTCCCACGCTGGAGAAACCAAAGGATGGCGACTGCAGCTTGGAGCTGCTGCAATCCAGGCACAGCACAGCTCTCCAGCCTCAGGAGGGGCACATGTGGTTATACGCTGTACACCACCTCCCTGCTGTCACAAGAAAAGCCAACCCTAAGCACCTGCGCTGCCCCAGCGAGCCCCGGCCACCAACGCAGACCTCCTCCTAACGTGGTGGAGCTGGCAGGAGAGGAGAGGGCCAGCTACGCAGTCAGGCCTGCACACGTGTCACCGGAGGATGCCTGGATCATGCCTGTCCCACGCTCTCTGTCAGTGCTTTAACCCGCCGGTGCCTCTTCGTTTCCCACAGAGCGCAGCCGCAAGCGGGCTGAAGAGAGGCATTTTTTAAAAAGATTGCTCAAACTTGGATCTTTTCCCTTAACGTGTTATTTAACTCAGTCACGTCTCACCAAGCCTGGCGTAATTTCCAGTGAGTCAAAAGCAGCAGGTTACACGCAGATACTTTGAAATCCCGTGTTTTATCCTGGAGGACATTTGCACAGTCCATCTAGCAGCAGCCAGGAGGCACCGCACAGAACAAACTACTTACATCGCTTACGTGTGATTTAGTCTTCTTGAGCACAGCACTGCCTAAATCATTCACAAAGTTACAAATTCAGAACCGTGGACCCCAGGAAGGTCTATTTTTTTTCCCCCTCAAACACCAGCAGCACCGGGTGCTGCTCCCACCACAGGCACAACTCTGACCACAATCTGCAGGCATCTGGGATGTAGGAATGTGGAGGATAAGCAGGCAGAAAATCTGCCACAAGGTATTTGGAGTAGGGGAGTGCTCAAAACATTTGCAGGAACAATATTTTTATGGAATGGAGGAAAAGGGAAGCGGTGCAGAACAGCAGCCAAGGACCAGTGGTTGAGATGAGCCATCATACACAGTGTCCAAAACACAAACCCTCTCGGTTCCGAAGGGAATCAATACAAACCAGAGTTACTTTGTGCATCCGCATTCCCCTGTGAAGATTTCCAAGATCCCATTTTGATCGCTAAGAGCAACAATTTACACAGTGAGGAATGCACTCTGGGCCTGCGGCCCCAGCTGGGTCCGCGGCCTGGGGAGGATGACCTAGTGAGGAGAGGATGGGTATGGACAACCCAGCACGGGAGGGTCCCGTCCCAGAAACACACTGCTTCTCCACCTCATACGCCGCACTCCAGTAGGAGCTTCCAAACCCTCCAGCATCGTTTTAGTGCTAGGAACCAACTGGTGCAAAAGGAGGTCTTGGTTTAATATCTTAAAGTCAGATGAGTTTTAGGAGTGACTGGTTAATGTTATCTGTGGTCTACAGCTCACTGGGACGGTGATCGTGTTATACTCACACGGTGTGGGTCAGGTGGGTAAAACCAATACTCACCCTGTCACTGCATCCCTGCCGAAGGCCTCTAAAAACAACAGAGCGGTTAAGTCACCTCTGGCTTTCCGGGCTTCTTAACAAAGGTGCAGTGGGGGGGGAAGCGGGATGGGTGAGACCCTGCCTTCTCCCAAAGCCAGGAGCAGGGCAGGCGCAAGGGCTCAGGGTTACAAGGGGAAGGCTACACATCCTTATTTAATGGCCCGCAATATAAAATGACCAAATTTCTCTGTGTGTGAGTAGGGACATCCCAATGTGTGTCCTGAAAGGGAGCTCCGTGACTCGTGGAGGGGCTGGATGACCAGTTAGGAGGAATGAAGTTGGATCAGGAGAGCAAAGCTGATGGCAGGCACCTGCGGGTGTCTGGGCTGTTGGTACTCCACGCAGGAAGGAAACGTGCTGTTTGCTATGTGCGCACTTCGGCTGCGCTGCCCCGTGGGTCCCTGACGGCCCAGGACACTTCCCTTGTCAGGAAACCCTCGATTCTTGTCTCGTTTCCTCCACGGTGGCACAGAAGAGCGGGCACAGCCAGGCTGGGAGGATACGCTGATGTCTGATGTTTTGCCTGGCTCCTGCAAACCTGGCTCACACTGTTTGTTTAAACTGATCTATAAATTAAAGTCAGGTAAGAATTGTCCCTCAGGTCAAGAGGAAGCAGCAACTGGAACCGTGGGTTTGGGCAAGGGGCAGTTTGGAGGTGAAATTCCCAGACACCGCGCTTTGCCCTCTGTCACTGCAGGCAGGTGCTGTGAGCAATGTCTTCTGATTTCCATTATTTCCTACAGCTTTTGTTATCGGGCTCAGGGTTTTTAGATGTAGGATCGGGAATGCTTTTTCTGACCTACAACACATTATTTTATAAATGCTCTGTGTATCCTTCTGGACAAAATGCATTTCATTTTTGCCAGCAGCAGCAGCATTATACACAATATTCAGTCTAGGCTTACGTTACAATATGTAACTTGGGGACATATTTTCCTGCCAGTCTAAACTTAAAACTGATGTTTCTGAGAATCGCATATGAACTCTAATCTTGCTATACAGATTCTAATCTAGTGCTAAACTTCCTTGGAAGGAAGTTTCCTTCGTACACCAATCTGATCCACGAGAAAACATGGCAAGCACAACCGAGCCCATTCCAAATTCTCCTAAACCCATGAATAGATAGAAAAGAAAAAAAAAAAAAGGTTATGGTTTGGAGCGGGAGTTTTGGCGTGTGATGGCAGCATATCACTCTTGAGACAGCACCGGCGGGGTCCCTGCTGCCCAACGCACAAGCAGCACCATTATACAAGTACAGGGGACGTGTAATGTGGAGTCGTAGGAGAAATTTGGATCTTTTCCTCCACAAAAGGGAGTGGAAAAACAAAGGCGGAAGAGCATTATAAGCAGAACATGACTGGATTTCTCAGAAGGATGAAGCAGAGCGAGGAACCGTTCTTGCTGGCACGTCTCCATCTGGCTGAACCCTTACCTGCTCCAGTTCTTGCTCAGCGTATTTCTGCCTGCTCAGCTCATTCTCCGTGCCCTCCCGCAGTTCTCGGAGCCGGTGTGCCTCCTGCTTGGCGATGCTGATCTCGTCTTGCAGTTTCTTCTCCAGGTGCACCTTTTCCACTTCCACAGAGCGATGCTCCTCCTGAGCCTTCTGCAGCCTACAACAGAGACACCGAGAGCCCAATGCTGCGTGCATCGGGCTCTCCGTACGGGTGGAGTCCGCGGTGCAAGGGCTGGCCAGCCACAGCCTACACCAACCCTGCTCTCATTTACTCTGTGTTTGTGTCAACAGAGATCTGCGTTCAGAAAGTCAAGGAGAAAGTTCACTGTGCCTGGGAAGAAATGAAATTGTCGACTCCAGGGTCTCAACTTTATTTCATTTATTAACTACTTGGTATTTATTTTCTTAATTTTCCAAACCACATCAAGATTTCCTTTAATAAGCACCAAGTTAATTCAAATTTTTAGTGTTTTTACAAAAATGAAGATCTTTGCCTTTAATTAAAAAAAAAGGGGGGGGGAAGATCTGCCTGAGCAGGTACGAACACCCACCCAGATGGGATGTCTCCGTGTTCCACTTTAAAAGCATTCAAATTTAGACATGTCTTAATCTTGCCTGGAAGTGATTATTTTTCCTTGCGACAGGATTAAACCAGTAGGAATTATGTACGGCAACAAAAAGTAATCACAGATGACTTGTACCCACTTGGGAAGGTTCAGGCATTCAGGCTGGAAAGCCTGGGCCCTCCGAGGGACCCGCCAACCCAACCCAACCCAACTCTTGCACCAGGTCAGCAAAATCAAGTCAGCACCAAGAGCGAACCCAGCCCACGCGGGACCTGGAAAGGGGCAGAAAGTTGCTGGTTGTTGCCACCCATCAGGCTCTAGCACCTGTGGTACCCCTGGGAAATGCAGTCCCAAACCCACGTGTTTCTAGAGACATGGCAACTGTCAAGTATAAGGGTGGGGAAAAAAAAAAAAAGAATTGGCAAATATTTGGTTGAAATGAAATGAAAAGCTTCACTTCATAATGAGGGTTCTGAGAAATCATGTTGAACAAGTACAACCAATGGTATTAAGGGGCTTCTTGCAAGAACCAGCCTAATGATTCCAATGAAAAGTATCTTTTTTTTTTTTTTAAATGGTGGCAACAATTAAACCCTGGATCAAATTTCTGAGGAATGTGGTACATCCACTTTTGGCTAACTTCAACTCAAGATGTGAAGTGTTTCAGGATACGTGCTTTAGCTGCTGGACTGAACACAACCAAGTGTTGTGGCTTACGCCATCAAGAACCAGCAGCATTCCAGTCCCTGCAGGGGCTCCAGGAAAGCTGGAGAGGGGCTGGTGACAAGGGCAGGGAGGGACAGGCCAAGGGGAATGGCCTGAAGCTGCAGGAGGGGAGATGGAGATGAGATGGGAGGCAGAAATCCTTCCCTGTGAGGGTGCTGAGGCCCTGGCACAGGGTGCCCAGAGAAGCTGTGGCTGCCCCTGGCTCCCTGGCAGTGTTGAAGGCCAGGTTGGATGGGGCTTTGGGCAACCTGGGCTAGTGGAGGGTGTCCCTGCCCATGGCAGGGGTGGCACTGGGTGGGCTGGGAGGTCCCTTCCAACCCAAACCCGTCTGGGGTTCTGTGATTCAGTCTAACAGTCCTGCCTTTTCAACATGAACTTCTCTTTCCAAAGTCAGTTCTCACAGTCTGAGATAAACCAAGAGACACTGGACAAGCCCACACTGCACCAACAGTAGAGGCGACGCTATTTTAACCCAGAACAAACTGAGGAAACTCCCGTTTTCTGCCACGAGAAACAAAGCTCTGCTCCCCACCCAAACCAGCCCCTTCTCCCTGCGTGCACCTCCTGCGCTGCCCAGGCAGCTTCTCTGGGGATCGATGGGATCTCAAATAAGGTGCTGACCTACACTGAAGCCACCAGCACTGTTTGTGAGGTTGGCAAGGCATCAGCTTAACCAGCAAAACCAGTAGAGGCTTACAGCAGATAGATTCTCAGTGACCAAATAAAACTATGCATAAATTGAAAAGAAAAAAAAAACCAGTCGTAAAGCCCCAAATGGAATCATCTTAGCCAGAAATAAGTATTTCAAGGTCATAAGACCTTCTCCCACTCAAGGTCATCAACATCCAAACTGCAGAGCAAACCAAGGGAGCGACGTGCGGGACAGAGATGAGGGGGGACAGCGAGGTCTGGCTCCGGGTGTGCTGTGCCTGGGCTGCAGGTGACACATAGCACATCTCAGGAGGACACTCCTGGGCTCCCCGGTGGCTCCCACTCATCCCGGACCAGGGGAGAAGCTGATCCTCAGTCGCTCCCTGCAGTGACGCCGGGGCATCCACCTTCCAGCCTCGTCTCTAAGGCCAGCACCTGGTTGTGCTTTTGGCGATGGAGCACGGAGCACAGCCCGTGCACAGACTCGGGGCAGGGACCATCGCTACCGCTCGCCGTCCCAGCCAAGGGCTCCTCTTCCTCAGGCTCCTCTCTTGGCATGCAGATGGCAATGTAAAACAGATGGGACGGGCTGGACTCTCACCAGCCGTGATGTTGGCTCTCTTCTTGGAAAAGGCTCATTTTCAATTTACAGCTCTGTTGAGAAACTCAAGTGTTTTTCTTTCCAATTTAAAGAGACTCTTGCCAAGACATTCCAAGTTTTTAGATAAACCCACGCTCTCTGCCCCGTGCATCAGTGCTAAAGCTCTTCCATACTAGGGCTGTAAGAATCCCAAACCAGCAAAATATCTCTGTTTAAAGGAGAAATTCCCCTATACTATGACGCAGAAGAGAGAAGTATTTTATCCTTAAGATAATTCTAAAAGGCACTCTAACATCGTATTCTCACTTACTACCATTTTTTTTCCCTGACAGCAGAGCCTGTATTTTCTTACGCTGGTTATGGACAAGCCCACGTTTTGTCGGTGCATTCCCATTCAGACGCAGCTACACGGGTTTCACATGCACTGAGCTCCAGGAGAACACAAAGCGCCTTCAGAGCTGCACTCGTAATGAGGGCAAGAAATCCAGGTCCATCTGGGGCTTCCCAGTTCAGGAGCAGATCTCCAATACAATCAGTAAATCTTCAATACAGATCTCCATACAATCTTCAATCATCGGTAGGATGTGCTAAGACATAAACTTTTTTATCCTGATGGGTCATTTAATTGACTGGAAAGCATCACTGCTGAAGGATGTTCTCAAAAAGTATTTTGAAGATGAACAAAAAAAGGCTTTTTGCATCAATCTTCCCTTCCCAACTCTTCAAGAGCACATCAGAGCTGTTCATTGAATAACAGCCCAAGCAGCTGGCAGGCAACAGGAAAGGCACCACGTGCCCTCCGAGGTCTGGTCAGCACTGAGTTTCAATGAGCCAGGTAAGAAGGTTACTTCAGGCTCTAGAGACAACCTTCCAGAAATGAAGTTTCTGAGCAGACCTTCAGAACAAACCCATGGGAACGTGCTGCTGGCAGGTTTTGCTGTATCTACAGTGGCAGAGGACCACAGCTGAATCTTGCTGGGCCTCAAGGATGAAGAAGCGAGTGCGTGTTCCCCCCTTCAGAGAAGGATTAGACCAATCCTCTGCCAAGAGGCCCCACAAGCACCAGGAATTCACCTCCCACTTCAAGCTCCAGCTCAGTGCCCTCTGCAGAGGACAAGCCCTCCCAGCTGCACACCCTGCAGAAGCATCACAAGCTGCTCTGGCTTAAGACTCAAGCTATGCTTAGTATACATGGTTTTGTGTTTCTTCCTATCCGGCTTTAGAGCATTAGTTGAACTTCCCAGGCACATCTACTTGTTTACGTGGCTCTGCCCTCGGGAGCAGATCCCAAGGTCATTCCCAACATGGCACATTCACGGCAGCCGGTGTTTGGACCTCTGGTGTGACCTGCTCTTCAGTGACACCCAGCAGAGACCTCCTGCCCAGGACACAGCTCTGCTGCTCTGGGGGATGGACGTTGAGAAGGAATTCCCGTGTCCTTCTGGCTGTAGAAAAAACCCCAAATATCTTTTTCTTTGGGGTATGTCCAACCTGCAATGTAAAATTACACAAAGCTTTGTGAAACCAGCTGTGGATCTGAGCCAGCTCCGTGGTAGGCAGACAGGAAACGTGCTTTATTCTATCTCCATGCCAAAAAGAAAGCAGGTCATGGATCTGCATCACTGCCAGGGGAATGCGCCCAGTTTGGCACCATCACCTTGGTACTCTCTCAAGTGTTTGCCCTCCACACGGACACCAACTGAGGGGGTCACACTCGAAGAAGAAGGGCTTTCCAGCAATGCTCACGCATGGGACAATTCCCTGAAGGCCATCACGAGCATGTAGGCTGCAGTTTTGTAGGTATGTCAAACAGTTTCCCCAAGACGTGGCTGTTTGCAAAAGTCTCCAGGGCAGATTTACCTCCTCGGGATCCTGGTGGTGGTGTTTGCGGAGGTTGCTCATCACACCACCCATGAGCGGCCACAGCACGTGTACCAGGGCTGGGCTCTGCTTTCCGAGAAGCCACTGGGAACATAGCTGTCAGCTTGTATGGCAGCCAAATTAAGGCCTATCCTCCAAAATTACCCTTAAAACTAATGAAAAGCAGTTCCAGGCCAAGACTACCATGCATTTGTTAAATCTGCCCTTAAACATCTGATTGACAAAACCTCCACTGGCTTGTCACTGAGAGTCTTAAACACTCTTTTCTTTCCTAGAAGAATCCTGCATCTAGAGAGGACCTCTTCTCAGCACATTCTCTGATGAGTAGTTTTACTGGAACCATTGCAATCGTTTCTGTGAGTAGAGGTCACATTCCTGAAGCTGCAGTATTTTGCCCAAGCGCCTAGAGTTCAACTACCCATATGTAATACTCTAAAAATTTTTTTTTTTTTGTTCTTCCCAGACAACACTCCTGGATTTACATATCACCGTGGTGGCAGGTAAGCACGGACTTTAACGTACATGGACAGCGGGATCGAGTGCACCCTCAG